GATAGTTTTATTTATACTTCTCTCTCTGTGTACTATTTAACATAAAGTAGTTAATTAACTAATTTGGAAGCACTAGACAGGTGTTTCGTCCTAGTGCGGGTTTCCTCAGTAATGCTCATTCCGATCCCACAACAAAGGGACTTTAACCAAGGACCTCTCGTTCTCGCATGCGAACGTTTAACCTTTAGACCACTGAGGTGGCCGTCAACCAACGGTGTTAATATCTGACTTCAATCGATCCACGATTCAGGAGTCTGTAGGTAACTAATCAACAATAACAGATTGAATTAGGAGAGTATGCGCCATAAAATTCATTTTTATTGTAGCACGTGGAGTTTTGATTTTAATTCCTTCTGATATTTTGTGGGTGTGCATTGTTGAAAAATCTTAAATATGAAACAAATAGTAATTCACTGCTTAATGGTCTTCAAATGTTTATCAACCAATATTATTCCGTACTGATTGATATATCATTTAATGAAAATCGTAAAATTTTAGAACACTTCATAATCACTTACGTGTTTCACTTCCCTTTTTTAATTTCCACATAGTTTTTTGTTCTAAGATTTGTCTTTTTTTCTGTGTGGAGACTATTGTCTGATCTCAAATCAGACTTGTAATCAGTTGATAACCACAAAAAAGAATTATTAACTTTTGTCTAAGTAACAATTATATTATCTAGTTGCATAATTTTTGAAGCCTCTACATGTTTTTATAAGTATACGGTACATAAATCGACAAATCAGAAAACGTTCACCATACACCACTTATAAACATCCTTGTGAGTAGCGTCCACTACAGTGCGACAAAGTTATCGATTTTGTGTGATGTTTCGTTCTTTGAGTTGGATGGTTTAATTGTTATTACCAGCTTTGTTTTACTTTAACTGTAATGCTGATGTAACTCTGTAAATAAACACTTGTTCATAAACTTGACTTTGAGGTACTGTATATGTGAATAACACCTAGTTATACTAATCGACTATTCATATCAAATTGTGTGAAACAAATTACGAAATGGCAACCCAACTTGACGAATACGATTTTCACATAGCTTACTGTAATCTGAAAGCCTAAAAGTTGGTATCTAGCATGAGGCACTGAATACCATGACATTTATTGTTAAAAATTTGATACTGTCTTCCTGTGAAGTGAAATTTCTTATTACTCGCCTATTCAGAGAGGATTCGTTGAATAAATTCACTTTGTGAGTAATCACGTTATCGATAATGTAAAAAACTGTTTTATTTTATACGAAGTAGACAATACTCGTAAATAAGGAAAGAACTATACAAAAATATTATGATATGTGAATAATAATTAGTCAGTTAGTTATCTTCAATGTAGAACCTGACACGGATATGCATTGGTTCAAGTTGGCATAACATTTATATGATGAGATGCTTGTAATAAGAGGAGTAATAAACGAGTTCAAAACAATGATGTAACAATGATAATGAGATAGATTAGTCACAAAGACTATAGTTTGAAGAGATAAAATGCAAAAGAATGTGTAAATAACATTATATTATATAATAAATAGACTTCATTTGTTCTGTCATGTGAAACTCTGTATTGGAATACTTTACTACATTGTTCAGTTATTATTTTTAGTTAATAGATTTAATTCATTTACTAAAATGTCACAATTTTAATGGCTATCTGACAAAAACACACACAGAGTATAATTGATAAGAAATAGGGAAGGATATTTTGTTGTCAATAAAAATATTTTGAAAAGCATGTTCACACTTCATAAGGAGTTTTTTAAAGATTAATCTATGTAGCCTGGTAACTATTCCGACTGTTTTTGATCAAACGTTTGAAATTCTGTATCTCCGTCTGATTATTTCGAATTTCAGGGAATCGAATTCTGGAGAAAGCTAGAATCCTACTAGGATTCCTATTAGTTTTTTTTAAATAAAGACCAAATATCGTAACAGTATGACATGGATTTATTTACTTCGTCGATTCTCCTCAGCTGCTTAAACCAAAACACTAATCATTCGAACGAAAAAAAGTGTATGTACTTTATATAGGAAACATTTTGAATACATTGAGTTAATATGTATAGAGACAGAATGATATAAAGAGACAGTATTTCAGAAGAATTAATAGTGTTCAAAAATACGTTTAATTCTACGTTAAATATAGAAATATTCTGAAAACAGAAGTTTTCGAAACTGAAGATAGATTACGTAATATAAACTAGTCGAGTAAAGCTCATAAGTAAGAATAAAGATATTAGAATTTTAATCAAAGTTTATGTGAAAGTCTTACGTAATGATCTCACAACAATGAGGTCACCAGGGTAAAACAATATTAGTAACTGTTCCTTTTTGGATACATAAACTGGGTTTGAATCTTTTTGTTGCAATGACTTCGGGAAGGAGTAGCAATTTTAAGTTCCTTTATTTGCTAATCATCTAGAAAGATTTCGAAATTTTAACCTCATTGTCATGCAAAGTTTGAGCAAGTGATTATTTAAAATCCTGCCCGTTAAATCTCAACTTTATGGAATATAATCGGAGATGAGGACACGAACCCTCTTCTCTGTTCTTACGCCATATGTGCTTTGAAGCATACATGCAAAGTGTTAAACACAATTAGCGGTAACATAAAGCAAGTGTCTATCCTCATTTGTCTGTCTCAATGACAATTCATTTCAGTATAAAACACTAAATTGGCCGCTAGATACGTCCATTTTAGCATTACCTTTAGTCTAAATTCAATAGTCCCAGTTATTTCATCGCCTTTGAAACCGAGTTCTAAGAAGACTGGATTTTTCTGAACCATATGATATTCTAATTATTATTGTTTTGTATTTGTCTTCTAATTGGAATCATGGTAGTTTTTAAAAATGTCATTTTAACTATAAATCAGTTACTTGTTTCCACATTTTGTACAATCAGTTCCCTTTACGAAATTAAGCGAATCCAGAACAATGAAAAGTGTACAAGAGTATGAATCTACTTAAATTTGCGGTTTCACCTCAATCGCTAACAAATGTATCCCTCAAAAAGCGAAATACAGATCAAATTTAAGTAAATTCAAAACAGTACTTGAGACAAAATAATATAAATTATTCTAATTTCGTGGTTTCTACCCAGTTGTTTATAATCGTTGTTATATTGATAAATGCCATAATGTTAAATAATATACATTGGTGATTTGAAAAATTGGAATGATAATTCTTTAAATCTCTTCCGAATATTATCCAAGTCATCTTATCAAAGTTCAAGTTCCAAATCAAATATTACCTCATTCGTTTATATTATCTATATCGTTTTCGAATGACTATATTTACGATGCAATCTTTTCTATCCTTCTATGGACATATACTTCCCATTTAACTATAAATACGAATGTACAGCTTAAGCAGATAAGTTCATCGTAGAAGAAATTTTCTTCACCGAGTTCTCCTTATTTTTATTCAGTGACACAACGGGTTATTGTAATTATCTGAAGGAGAAATGTTATGAAATTTAGCATTTACTGTGGGATTTTTCAACAAAATAAAAACCGTGATATTCGACAAGCTTAATTTTCCTATGGTTATATTAAAGTTTTCAGTGATAAACTTGAATATGTAAAATTCTTATCATCAGAAATTATCAACTGTTTTCTAATAATCATCCAATAGTACAGATTAAGAAATGTCAAACTTGGGTTTTGTTTTTGCTAAGGTTTATTCTTATGGCATAGTTACAATCAGCCCTAATTCTGTTAATTACATTACCCAACACTGTGGTCGACAACTTCAAGTTCATGGTACTCTGATCAAGATTACTTTATTTTAACATCTAGCTGAGCATATTTACAATCTATTGACCAGTGAATAATGAACTATTTCATATTTGTCAAGTCCTTTTGGTGTTGACCGAATTCTGTCGATTAAATTGTAGTATGGTTACCAGTCTAAATGAGTTAATATTGCGTACGCCATAACGAGATATTAGTTGGTGGAACATAGCCATCGGAAAAATCTATTTAGAACTCGTCAGTAAGATGTGCATGTAATCTTCAAAAGACTGATGCTACCTGGTGGTTTACGATCTCATGCTACTCGATTTCATAGTCTGAGACATAACTAGTGAATCGTCGGGGCTGCAACAAATCTCTTGAGGGATTAATTTATTTGTAGGTGATTGATAACTAAGCAGTGACCCATTTAATATCTGCCTAGTCCAGCAGGAATTACCAGTTCCATTAGGAGATTACAGGCACAGCTTACAAACTAGGGATAAAGAACACAAAACCTAAGTTTATAGTTTCCTGTCGACTACTCTTAACTACCTTAGAAATGAGTTTATTAGGTTAAGTTTTCTGTTACTTGACAATATATATTTTGTGCCAAATAAAATGCTCCGGAGTGTTCACTTACTAGGAATAATTGTAACGTAGTAGATCAATTCAATGAAGTCCTCTGTGATCCGGGAAGAGTAAACAAAATAACATCGTTCATTTATTGATGGTTATAGTAACACAAGCTTATCGTGTCAATAAGACAGATATTGATTTTCAGTTTAACACATATTATAATGAAATAATTTATCAACGAAAGTTACGTTCTCATAGATTCGTTATTTAATTACTCCCGTTTGTCTGTTATAATCTGTGAATAAAATGTAGATGGTGAAGTAGTTTTCATCAGGTAAACATTCTTTTGTCATCATTATTAGCTATAATAAAGCATATTTTCCATTTGTTTACATTCAAGACAAAAAATAATATATTTCCATTGGAAATATTTATCATTTCAATGGATGCTTCCATTATTTAGAATACAAGGAAACAATGGAGGCAGTGTGAAAGAATTCATTCACTTCGGATTAATGTTTATTTGCATATTTTGGTAGAATATAAAAGTTCCATGTAAAACTACTTAAAGTAATTTAACAGAGGAATGAGTTTCCGATTAATCATATCATAACAAGTGTTAATCATTTTTAACAAATAATTTAATAGATTGATTTCCTTTACTTTCTCTTGAAATTTCAGACGACATGTTACCATCAAAGGAGCACCTGAACTTATAGATGAAAAATTTTTTGCATGGGAAAATCGAGTAAATCAGATTTTAAAATCATGTGCAGTTATCGGGCCCAAACGATGCACAACAATCAAATATGAATCATTGGTACTCAGACCGAGAGAAGTTCTGGGTGAACTGTTTGGTAAGAGATACACATATATATATCGTCGTATACAAATCATCAAGATAATTATCATTTTCACTTTTCGCTAGAATGTTTCTAAAAGACAGTGATGCTTAACTTAAGGCCAAAGTTATTTCAAGTACCATACACGGAAGTAGACCATTATCATTTGAGATGCTTTGCTAGCGAGAAGAAAGGGAGAAATCAACAACTTCACAACTTTCGGATGCATAACATTTAATAGAGCAACGTCAGTCGAACAATATTTCACTGGCTCATCGACTGTCCTCATTTACATCGAGTAGATTTTTAGACCTTGATATATCGTTGAATCTGTGGCCCACCGTGATTATTATGAAAAAGCGTTTTTAGATATACTGATTCTACTTAGTTGAATTACACGCCAATCTTACCACTGATAAATAGCACTAAAGTTTGGTCAATTAACTTAGCAAAATAACAGTAAGTCATTGAATTTCATAGTTTCTCATCAGCTGCTTACAGCCTAAGCATGATAGTATTATTCATTGGAAATCTGCTTACATACTTCATATCGTGACATCGTAAAAATGCTCGTTATTGAGCAAAATTCCTAAAAGAGCAAAAAGTGTAGATAATTTGTAAGTGATATTTAGTTGCTAAGTAATGATCTTGAAGATAACTAATAAACAAATAGTTTCAAATTTACTACGTTCTGATGAAGCGATTGCCATATAAATATACAGAACAAATCTTTGCACACAAAATATTTAGTCACCAAACTTGCTTTGTTATGATGACCTTATTCATATATGTTTGTTATTGTATTCTTCTCTTGACAATAATTATTACCTCACTTCTTATCTGATCTGTACTCAGTTAATCGATTTTTTTAAGGGTTGAATAAATATAACACATATATCTCATACTTTAATAATTCTGTTTATGTGTTCTTCGTTGTTCGTTATAGAATATTCTTACATTCAACCTATAAATATTCACATTATGTAACGTTGTCATCTCTTACAGTTCTTCCTTAGTTGTCGTCCTTTTCAATAAACCTTATTATTCAGAACAGTTCTGACAAAGTATGTACATTGATTTCTGATGATTAATACTACTGTGTTTAGTTCATATGCAGATGATAAGAATGCACGAAGTCAACCTGTCGTTTCATATGAGTTGTCTGTTCTTCGCCTTACGGTTTCATCGACATCTTTAAATGTATTGATAAATGGAAATATTGAACTAAAGAATGTCATATTTCTATTCTATCATACAACCTAAAACAAGACCAAATTAATAACATATATTAGAAATTCAATTGTTGAAATCAGTTTTACTTTATGCAGTGTAGAACTCAAACATCTTTTAATTAGGGACCAATCCGCATATATATGTGGACATAACTAATCATATTTTTTCATTCATTAAATCTATTTCGAAATGCATGAGAATGATTTAAAATCCATAATGACGTAGCAAGTTAGAATGTGATCGTCACTGAGTTCAGTTCATTTACGAAATATAAGGAATATTTAGCAATAAAAATATGCTCAGTGTTGCGATTTCCGTAAATCGTACATCTGTACTTAGAGGTGATTTCTTACACATGGTAATGTTCAGTAAAATAGAGGGATGTGTCATCATTTAAAAACTTAGTGTACACTAACCGACCTTGGATTCGTAAATGTGTCAAGAACAAGCATGACATTTGACGAAATCAATATGCATCTACAATTTACTCTCTTTTGTGGAGGAGGCTACACTGGTAGCATAAACAGGACTTTTTATGAACACATCTCCTAGTGTTATCCTAATCGTCTACCAAACTGGTGAGACGGTCGACAGATGAGCTCCAGAGGTTCTTGTAAATTCTGACCAAGTTGCTCTACCAATATCATCCTTCACAGTCATCCATGTGCTCAAATGAATTGGTTTAAGGATGAGTCGATTTGAGAATCTATGCAACACAGAGGTTTTAGAAATTTGTCGGTTTCTATGAACTCAACATATCTTCCTTCCTCCCATATTCGACAACCAGCTGTTATCACATTTCTTCTAACTTCTCAGTTTTCTTCTTGATTTAGTCAGTTGTTTTATGTCATTGAACTATTCTAAATATACACACGTGGACCTTTAACGTCTACGTTTCTCCCATAAATTATGATTTCACATTGTCTTTCAGAATTTTATACAAATTTCCAACCAAAACGTGAGAACATCTGATAAATTTTGGTGATTTGTTAAGTAATGCGACACCTCTCCATTTTATCAATGATACTATGCATGTAAAAATCACCTGTGGATGTGATTGTTCAACTTGAATATAAAGAATTGTCGAAAGAGGTATTTTCTTTGACGAATACGTTCTCTCGAATAAATCCATGAATTACTTTGTTGTTCCATTTTCGGCAATTACGTATGCATTTGAGAAACGAAGCTCTCATGTGATCAAAGCACATTGAGAACTGTCCCAACAACTGATACTGACATTGACATAAAGTATCAAGTTGACTGCAGTCATGAATTCTATCTTCGATTATTACTCTTTAAATCTATCGAAAACAATCAACTTTCATTTCTAATTTGTTATTGAATTATGTTTACAGTAGTGTGTTGTCCCAGAGTAATAACATGAAAACATCAAACTCACGTTTTGTCAACTGAAGTGAAATAATATAGATTCACTTCATTTCATAGATTTTCATCAGATGTTTACAACTTCACATTTCTACATTCCCCGGGTATAACTTTGAATGATAAATACAAATGAACAAAATAAACGGTGTGAAATACCAACCAACTTGTGTTGATAAATCGATAAAGTGAAATAAAATATTTAGCACTCTAATTAACATCAGTAAATTTATTCACAATATCAATACTTCCAGGTACATTGAACACCTCTAAAATGAACGGAACACATTCAGTTTATGATAGCCTTAAACCACATTTAAATTATAACTGTGTTATTTTGTCATTTGTATATGTTTGTTTCTGTAGAATTTCTCGAATTGCCATGGGATCCAATCGTTCTTCACCATCAAACGGCTATGAGTCAAAGCTCTCTAAGCAAGTAAGTCGCGAGGATAATGAATTCATTTGCTTGTGATTATCAATTGACACAACCTAATAAACTGACCATCGAGGTTCCGATCAGCTTTTAAAGAAATTCAAAAACACCACATTATTCACAACATAATGGTCAGTTAATTGTGAATATCTCGATCTCACATTATTTCAATAGCTATTAAAATTACTCAGTGACAATGTCTAAGATGGTGTAACTTGATGGCGATCATTTGAAATTTATAGGAAGCATCGATCTCCTCATGATAACAGCTAAGTTTGAGTACTGGCGTCGACTAGTACGAAATTTAGATCGAGAGTTTCCTGTCGAGAATTTCCAATAACCTGACAAATGCACTAAACCCATACATCTCATTTACAGTTACATCACTGCTAGTTGCAACATCATAGGAGTGGAAATTTTAAATCTCTGAAAAAACGTGATCTACAGAGTTTTTGATGGAGACCCTGTTGTCCATTAGTTTGTCAGTTAAATTCATCCGACATGACGAAATTCACACCTTCTCAATTAACCACTTTTCTTGTTATACATACACACAGACTCGAACCGAGTACTTCACAGGTTGTTCATCCAATACACTTGGCTTCACTAACTTCATGGGCTTCAAGTAATTCAGTGTTGCCCGAATCTTTCATCTCATCAATACACCGAGAAAGTGATATACTGAAAACACTTGGTTACGCTGATTTGGGTGTACCACCACATTACGGTACTCCAGAAAACCAGGTGGTCAATATAACTAGTTACCTTATCAATGATCCACAATTTAGACAGATATTCTAACTTCATATTTTCCATGTGATAATTTACTTTTGTTGTCAACATTGTTTTGTGTAAATTGTGTGATACTTGTAAGTTTTCTGTGCGTATTGTTCTCAAGTCGTTTGTTATTTGGACAGTTGAGAAGTGTATTTCTATTTATTGTGAAATGTTAACATTTCTATTTTCTTGTTAATGAGGTATAGATTTCAAGTGTTAATTATTTTTAACTGTTATGGTTGTTAGTGATGGTGATGGTAGTGGTGACATTTAGTATTTTAATAGTTTTCTACTTTGTATTTTTTTAAACTTCATATTCGTGTAACTTCATATTTCTAATTGCGTTACCATAATAATAAAAATGACAATGATGATGATGATGGTGATTGTGAGATTTGTGGAACTTCTCTCTTTCTCTCTCTCTCTCTCTTCCTTCTTTGATGAATATTCAACCAACATATCTTTATTTGTGATTATGGTTTTTACTGTTTTTATGTTGACTTTGTTTTATTTTTATATACATACTATCTGGGATAACAAGAAATTGTTTGTTTTCTCTTTTTTTGAATAATAGTTTTTGATTCTATTTTATTGTTATAAAGAAATACATTTTGATTTATGAGTGATATAATGTATGAGTACAATTTCAATGTATTAGCCAATTCATATTTTGTAATTTTGAAAGATCATTTATAATTGAATAAATATTTTTAATTATTTAGTGTTTTATTTTTAACTGTTTTGAATGAAGAGGAATGTTTTGAAATGTTCAGAATTTAAATATTCGAACTATTGAACTCTTTGTTGTTGTTCATATTAAATTAACAGTTACTTTCCTCAACGATCGATAATATTAATGAAACTTCTAAGTAATTATTTAGTGTTTTCAATGGTTAAGATCATGAGTTAGTTGAAGCTAAATCACCATGGAAAACCTGGAAGCACTGGATGGCCGTTTCGTTTTATTGTTTTTACTTTCGCGCGCGTCGTCCAGTGCTTCCAGGTTTTCCATGGTGGTCTAGCTTCAACTGACTCATGATCTTAACCATTGAAATTACTATAATATCTACAAAACCCATCTGATATTAATTATTTAGTACATGAAATTTCACACTTTCTAGTTTTCAATAGTTATTGGATTATATGTAATGATTATAATCATTTTACATCTGGATCGAAATATGTTAATAATCATTAGTAGTAAGGTATTTGTTTAAGTACACTTAGAAAATGTATCATAATAGCTATCCTTACATTCAAGTGTTTGAATGTACAAATAATATTGTTTTTTTAGAAATAACTTCTTATTGAGGAAAGCATACAAATGTTACTCTACTGAAATTCATTTAATCCCTTGTTTTTTGTACTACTTCGTTTATACGTAACAGTCATTATAAGTAATGTTGTTTTGTTTACATAACGTAAACTACCTTTATATCATAGAGGAGTATCCAACAAGTGATTTTCAACTTTTACGTAAGGATGGTACACTACATATAGACCACTAGTTTTCAATAATAAAGTCATTGAAAATGCGCAACTTTATCTGCAATGTTCATATAATTTTTTACGAAGATGAACTGTAATAAATGTTATTTGGTTTATGACTCAACCGAGTAGCAGTTTATTACAAAGTTTATGAATGAAATTTGGATAATTTCACTATGGGTGTTTGAGGGAAGACTTGTTCAACATCAAAGCTTAACTGTTTCAGAAGTAAAACTTAGTAACTTGTTTATTTTATATAATTTGGTAAAATATTTTATTTCATCGATCTTATGAAATTTCAAACAAATCGGCGTTCGCGCGCAAGACTGAAGACTCTGGGTTCGAACCCCGCGGGCGAGGTCGTGAATGCGCACTGCCGAGGAGTCCCACAATAGGACGAAACGGCCGTCCAGTGCTTTCAGGTTTTCAGTGGTGGTCTTACATCAATCGGTTCGTGATCTCAATAAAAAAGATCAGTTAGTATTTTGATAACCCAGTGACATTCGATATAACTGAACACAACATTCTACTGCTTAATGGCTAGCTGAAATTCTACATTTAATAAAAAATCAGCTCAATAGATACATCAACGTTGAAAAATATGGGTTTATTTATTAAATACCTAATGTTAATGAGACCGAAAAATGATTTTGCTAGGAAGGGCCAGGACAGAGTGGGTTGGAGAATGCTGGTCAGCGGCCTATGCTCCACTAGGAGTAACAGGCGTAAGTAAGGTACTAACTCTTCTTTTTACAAATTTTTCTCGCGGAAACAGTCTGTTTTTTCATATCACTATGTTGAAAACACTATCTTCCATATTTGTACTTTGAGATATCTGAAAAAATTACTTCTTTGGTTTCTTCCTAACATCCACTATAAATTTAGTCTTGAGTTTTGCAGAAAAACAGATAATATTGACAGGGTCTGTATTCGATTCACTGCTAATCGACTGTTCCATGGAATATCTGGGAAACATAATATGTCACCCTACGATCGAAGTGTTTATGCGATACTTTAGTCATTTGTGACAAAAATATCGAAGTCAATAATATATTGAAGGGAGTCGGTGACATCCACGCAGTAATAAATCATACAAAAAAGTTGGAGTTGGATTCTAAAATCAACTTTTTGGGTGCTTTGTTTTGATGATCTGATAGATCCCCACATAAATCAATATGTAGAAATCTAACTTGGATCGGAGTAGTACAAGAATTTTCAAAGCTGTGTCTATTTTAGTCAGAAAAGAAACCTGCTTCACTCTCTATTAATAATCGCCAGATATGTTTGTACGAATTACACAATTGACATTGAAGTAGGTAAATTCTTGGAGATCATTATTAGGTACGGCCATCCACCTTGGTTTACTGAGAGAGGTCTGAAGTCAAAGAGGATAGATGAAACCATTCTAGCAGTGATTTATCATTTTAACTCAATTCCAATTTTTTTCATAATAATTTATTCACTTTTATTACAACACCCAGTTATTCTGTTTTTCATCTAAATCAGTTGGAAAGTTAACACTCGTCTATAAATTGTCCTTGCTTTAAGACGTTTTCATAAGCTGTCAGATAATTACACAATATCTTTAAGATATTTCATTTATCCGAACAACTTATGGTTTAATATCAATTTAATACTGAAAACCTCGATTTGAATACAAACTATTGTCTTCCACGTACAGAAGGTCTGATTATTGCTTATTACTCATTTGAACGACATAACATACCTTTGTTGTTACAGATTACTGGGTTTTTTTAAATTAACTATAAATACAATTATACAGCATTGGAGAATGATTTTGTCGAAAACAAAGTTTTCTTGGCTGAATTATTTTTAATTTTTCTTTAATATGTAATTGATTATTCTGAACTAAACATATGGAAAGTAAACTTATTAATTAAATATTAAACAAAATCTTTATTAAATTCACTTGGTATTGTTTATTTGAATTCACCCATTGATGTTTAGGACTGTAATCGATCAGTCTCTTGTTGGTATATGTGCATACTGTGCGTATTGTCTCGATATTGCCTTAATTCACAAGCATTATAAGCAAGGATGGTTAATGACTAGCAGTGGAATCCAGGACGCTCGTTTCGTCCTATTCGGCTATCACGATTCAGTAGCTAAGTGGATAATGCGATGGCGTTTTAAGCGAACGGTACTGGGTCCGAGTCCCAGAGTGAACATCAAATTTGTGATGCAGGTATATGGAGCTGACGAGTCCCAAAGAGGACGAAACGCGCGTCCTGGATTTCACTGCTAGCCACAATCCTTCTTTGCTCAAAATCTTTATTGTTTTTACATACAATGAATTGATTTTTCAAAACTCTCAAATGCATTGAAAATCCAAATCATTAGGAACAGAAGTGAACCCTTGAGTTAAGTGGGGAAGGAGCTGAATGTATGTGTTTCAAATATTCTATGAAAGTTAAACTTGGTACTTATGTACTAAAGAGTTTAAACAAAGGAGATTTAAAACGTACATTTTTAAAATTTCTATATAATTAACAACTACAAAAAAATATTTATGTTAGGGGGATCTAGAAAACTCATTGAAAAAAAGTCAAAAGAGCCTATGAAAACGCTGAAAAGCATCTTATCCAATCAGTATTCAGTAGGAGTTTTGCCAGAAATATCTAGAAAGTGAAACGTCACATGTCGGGTTTCTGATTAGATGATTACCTATAGTGCCATTATGTTTAGTAGCGTTCCAGAAATTTCTGGAAACCCAAGGCAATCCAAAATATTATAAAATTTGTAAATTTTCTGTACATAAACGAACCTTTGGAGTAAAGCGTTTCTTTCATATTTCGCGTCTTTTCTTTCGTGTTCAAGTCGCTGTGCAGATTTAGCCTGGGGGTTAGTGGAAGAGCTTAGCAACCAAATCAAGCATTCAATTAGAAAACTTATCAATTTATATAATTTGAATAAGTAAATGCCAATTCTTACCAAATTCATTGTACTGATATAAATAAAATTATGTAGTATAACTTACATTATTAAATGACATCACATAAAACAAGTTTGACAATTAAGAACCATAAACATACAACTGGTTATTTAGTGACATTCTCCGCCTAACCAAACTCTAATAGATGAGATTGTTTCAGATAAGTTAATAATTCCAGTTCTTTATTATTATTTTTTATTATTCTTAGCTTTATTCAATATTATATTTTTGGTACAATATAGAACCCTCAGCACAAAATATTCTAACAAGTTTCCTTTCCTTATTTTTTCATCTATACTGACGATAAATACTGAGTGCTCGTCATTTACATGTGAGCAGTTCACAAATCGACATCTGAATGATGTAATTTCTTTTTGATACATACTGCCAGCAACCACGATTTCTCTGATTCGGCTTTTTATAACTTGTACAGCGAAATGTCGTATAAGTTTATAAACGCAACTGAATAGGTTATGCGAATAAAAGACATTATGATGTGTTAAAACAAACAGAAAAAACAAATAACTTCTTGAAATATCTAGATGGAACAGGTAACTTAGATACTCAAGCAGGCCGCCAAATGGAGCTATAATCTAAAGAACTATATTTTCAAAAATGTATTATAGTTGTGTATAGGTGTTCTGGATTATATATGTGTTTTTAGTTTCTTTGTCAATTATGATTCTAACATTCTGCTTAAACATCATAAAATAGTAGTTTAGTAGCAGTGATAATGAAAAAGACTAAGCACTGAAAACACGGTTCAAGAAGCAGGAAGGAAAAGTATGTATCTATGAATACTGAAGCTATTGGTGTAAAACAAGACAGAGTGGATGCGTCTGCGGAGTTGTGGTTGAGTCTGAGATACAGATAATTTCTACTACAATTATTGATCATGTGTTTATTATCATCAATGGCTTTATTCAATATTATGTTTTGGTACAATATAGAATTCTCAGCACAAGGTATTTCAACAGGTTTCTTTTACGAAATAAACAAAAACAAAGACAAAAAAAGGAAGAAAGGTTAAAAAAATCTGAAAACCTGTACAACCTCCCAAATTCAAGACTTGTTAAGAATGCAAGTTATTGAT